TGGGGCAGGTTCGGGTCCCTGCCACAGTCCTGGCTCTGCTCCCTGCTTTTTGACACCACTGAGGAACCAGCCCCTGCGGGGAGCTCTGAAGCCCAGCTGGGGCTCTGTGCTGCCGAGCACTTTGCTTTCCAGCCCCCTCCTCCTCCCCATCCAGGTGTTTTTAGTTAAGAGCATCCATTTCATGCATTCAGCTTCCAGCTCCCCAGGGAGCCTCCCAATCTCTGTGCCCGATGGGAAGCCAGGGAGATGGGATAATTCCCTCTGCTGCCATCCAGGCAGGCTGTGGGCACAGCTCGGGGTGCATGGCACCAGTGCCTTGAGAAGCCATGGGGCAGGTTCGGGTCCCTGCCACAGTCCTGGCTCTGCTCCCTGCTTTTTGACACCACTGAGGAACTGGGAGAGCACTGGGGATGGACTCTGAGCCCCAGCACACCGAGGGGGGGACAACCAGCCCCTGCAGGGAGCTCTGAAGCCCAGCTGGGGCTCTCTGCTGCCCAGCACCTTTGCTTTCCAGCCCCCTCCTCCTCCTCCCCATCCAGGTGTTTTGAGTTAAGAGCATCCATTTCATGCATTCAGCTTCCAGTTCTTGAAGGACACACTTTCCCCTTGTCCCCAGGGAGCATCCCGATCTCTGTGCCCGGTGGGAAGGGAGGGAGATGGGATAATTCCCTCTGCTGCCATCCAGGCAGGCTGTGGGCACAGCTCGGGGTGTGTGGCACCAGTGCCCTGAGAAGCCATGGGGCAGGTTCAGGTCCCTGCCACAGTCCTGGCTCTGCTCCCTGCTTTTTGACACCACTGAGGAACTGGGAGAGCACTGGGGATGGAGTCTGAGCCCCACCACACCAAGGGGGGGGTCCCAGCTCTTGGAGGACACGCTTTCCCCATGTCCCCAGGGAGCATCCCAATCTCTGTGCCTGATGGGAAGGGAGGGAGATGGGATAATTCCCTCTGCTGCCATCCAGGCAGGCTGTGGGGACAGCTCGGGGGGTGTGGCACCAGTGCCCTGAGAAGCCATGGGGCAAGTTCAGGTCCCTGCCACAGTCCTGGGTCTGCTCCCTGCTCTGTGACACCACTGAGGCACTGGGAGAGCACTGGGGATGGAGTCTGAGCCCCACCACACCAAGGGGGGGACAGCCAGCCCCTGGTGATCCCTCGGGAGGGGCAGGGATGCTCCAAATCCCATCAGGGAGAGGGAAGAAGGCAACTCACACTATCTGTGGTGGCCCCTTGTCCCCTGCCACCCTGTGATCCAGCTTCTCAGCAAGAAAATGGGAGGAGAGGGGCTTTTCCCAGCTGGCAGCAGGGACATGGGGACAGTTCACAGTGGGGCTGGCAGCAGGGACGCAGGGAGGGTTGACGGTGGGGCTGTGGGGCAGGTTTGCAGCAGGGAGATGGGGCGATGGTTTGCAGCAGGGAAGAGCTGCAGCGGGGATGCGGGGAAGGTTTTCAGGAGAGAGGGTTTCGGCAGGGATGCAGGGTAAGGATGCAGCAGGGCTGGTTTGCAGCAGGGATGCAGGGATGGTTTGCAGTGGGGCAGGTTTGGAGTAGGGATGCAGGTTTGCTTTGCAGTGGGGCTGGTTTGCAGCAGGGATGCAGGGATGATTTGCCATGGGGCAGGTTTCCAACAGGGATGCTTTGGGATGTGGCTCGTTTGCAGCAGGGATGCAGGGACACTTTGCCGTGGGGCAGGTTTGGAGCAGGGATGCTTTCCAATGGGGCAGATTTGGGGCAGGTTTGGAGCAGGGATGCAGGTTTGCTTTGCAGTGAGGCTGGTTTGCAATGGGGCAGGTCTGCAGCAGGGATGCAGGGATGATTTGCGATGGGGCTGGCTTGCAATGGGGCAGGTTTGGGGCAGGCTTGAAATGGGGCTGGTTTGCAGCAGGGATGCAGGGATGGTTTGCAGTGGGGATGATTTGCAGCAGGGATGCAGGGATGCTTTGCAGTGGGGCTGGTTTGCAGCAGGGATGCAGGTTTCTTTTGCAGTGGGGCTGGTTTTCAATGGGGCAGGTCTGCAGCAGGGATGAAGGGCAAGCTTGAAATGGGGCAGGTTTGTGGCAGGGATGCAGGGATGCTTTGCCATGGGGCAGGTTTCCAACAGGGATGCAGAGATATTTTGCAGTGGGGCTGATTTGCAGCAGAGATGCAGGGACACTTTGCCATGGGGCAGGTTTCTGGCAGGGATGCTTTGTGATTTTACCATGGGGCAGGTTTCCGACAGGGATGCAGGGATGCTTTGCAATGGGGCTGATTTGCAGCAGGGATGCAGTGATGCTTTGCCGTGGGGCTGATTTGCAGCAGGGATGCAGGGATGCTTTGCAGTGGGGCTGATTTGCAACGGGGATGCAGGGTTGCTTTGCAGTGGGGCTGGTTTGCAGCAGGGATGCAGGGATACTTTGCAAAGGGGCAGGTTTCTGGCAGGGATGCTTTGTGATGTGGCTCGTTTGCAGCAGGGATGCAGGGACGCTTTGCCATGGGGCAGGTTTCCGGCAGGGATGCTTTCCAATGGGGCAGGTTTGGAGCAGGGATGCAGGGATGCTTTGCAGTGGGGCTGGTTTGCAATAGGGCAGGTCTGCAGCAGGGATGATTTGTGAGGGGCTGGCTTGCAATGGGGCAGGTTTGGGGCAGGGATACAGGGATGCTTTGCCATGGGGCAGGTTTGGAGCAGGGATGCAGGGATGCTTTGCAGTGGGGCTGATTTGCAGCAGGGATGCAGGGATGCTTTGCAATGGGGCAGGTTTGGGGCAGGGATGCTTTGTGATGTGGCTCATTTGCAGCAGGGATGCAGGGATGCTTTGCCATGGGACATGTTTGCAGCAGGGATGCTTTGCCATGGGGCAGGTTTGGAGCAGGGATGCAAGGCTGCTTTGCCATGGGGATCGTTTGCAGCAGGGATGCAGGGCTGCTTTGCAGTGGGGCAGGTTTGGAGCAGGGATGCAGAGCTGCTTTGCAATGGGGCAAATTTCTGGCGGGGATGCAGGTTTGCTTTGCAGTGGGACTGATTTGCAATGGGGCAGGTTTGTGGCAGGGGTGCGGGGGTGCTTTGCCGTGGGGGTCGTTTGCGCAGTGGGGCAGGTTTGGAGCAGGGATGCAGGGTGCTCTGCAGTGGGGCAGGTTTGGAGCAGGGATGCAGGGTGCTCTGCAGTGGGGCAGGTTTGGGGCAGGGATGCAGGGATGCTCTGCAGTGGGGCTGGTTTGGGCGGGCTGTTGGCCGCGCTGCTGCCGGTCCCCAGCGAGAGGCGCTGCCGCCCCAGGAAAACCGGGAGCGGCGGGGACCAGCCTCCCCCGGCTCCTCCACCCCCGGCTCCTCCGTCCCCGGCTCCTCCAGCCCCGGCTCCTCCATCCCCGGCTCCTCCAACCCCGACTCCTCCACCCCCGGCTCCTCCATCCTCAGCCCCAGGCTGGTCCCTCCCGGTCGTTGCAAGGTCCCCCCGGGCCAGGACTGGGAACCGGGGGTCGTTTGGGCTGCAAATCCGATGGCAGGTGAAGAAATAGGGGGCTGAGGGGTAAGTGTTGTCCCTGGAATGATTTGTCCCCCTCTATTGTGTGGGCATATCTTGGGGACCCCTTTGCACCCATGGGGGTGCTTCATCCAGAAGCACCAGAGAAGGTGCAGAGAAGGGTCCAGAGAAGGGTAATGGAGCTGGTGAGGGGTCTGGAGACCAAGGAGAAGGGTCTGGAGAACTTGTGAGGAGAGGCTGAGGGAGCTGGGGGGGTTCAGCCTGGAGAAAAGGAGGCTGAGGGGAGACCTTCTGGCTCTCTCCAGCAGCAGGGATGCAGGGACGCTTTTCAGTGGGGCAGTTTTGGAGCAGGGATGCAGGGATGCTTTGCAGTGGGGCTGGTTTGCAATAGGGCAGGTCTGCAGCAGGGATGATTTGTGAGGGGCTGGCTTGCAATGGGGCAGGTTTGGGGCAGGGATACAGGGATGCTTTGCCATGGGGCAGGTTTGGAGCAGGGATGCAGGGATGCTTTGCAGTGGGGCTGATTTGCAGCAGGGATGCAGGGATGCTTTGCAATGGGGCAGGTTTGGGGCAGGGATGCTTTGTGATGTGGCTCATTTGCAGCAGGGATGCAGGGATGCTTTGCCATGGGACATGTTTGCAGCAGGGATGCTTTGCCATGGGGCAGGTTTGGAGCAGGGATGCAAGGCTGCTTTGCCATGGGGATCGTTTGCAGCAGGGATGCAGGGCTGCTTTGCAGTGGGGCAGGTTTGGAGCAGGGATGCAGAGCTGCTTTGCAATGGGGCAAATTTCTGGCGGGGATGCAGGTTTGCTTTGCAGTGGGACTGATTTGCAATGGGGCAGGTTTGTGGCAGGGATGCAGGGCTGCTTTGCCATGGGGTTCGTTTGCAGCAGGGATGCAGGGCTGCTTTGCAGTGGGGCAGGTTTGGAGCAGGGATGCAGGGATGCTTTGCAGTGGGGCAGGTTTGCAGCAGGGATGCAGGGACGCTTTTCAGTGGGGCAGTTTTGGAGCAGGGATGCAGGGATGCTCTGCAGTGGGGCAGATTTGGGGCAGGGATGCAGGGATGCTCTGTAGTGGGGCAGGTTTGGAGCAGGGATGCAGGGTGCTCTGCAGTGGGGCAGGTTTGGGGCAGGGATGCAGGGATGCTCTGCAGTGGGGCTGGTTTGGGCGGGCTGTTGGCCGCGCTGCTGCCGGTCCCCAGCGAGAGGCGCTGCCGCCCCAGGAAAACCGGGAGCGGCGGGGACCAGCCTCCCCCGGCTCCTCCACCCCCGGCTCCTCCGTCCCCGACTCCTCCGTCCCCGACTCCTCCATCCCCGGCTCCTCCATCCCCGGCTCCTCCAGCCCCGACTCCTCCGTCCCCAGCCCCGGGCCGGTCCCTCCCGGTCGTGGGAAGGTCCCCCCGGGGCCAGGACTGGGAACCAGGGGTCGTTTGGGCTGCAAATCCGATGGCAGTGGTTTGGGCGGGCTGTTGGCCGCGCTGCTGCCGGTCCCCAGCGAGAGGCGCTGCCGCCCCAGGAAAACCGGGAGCGGCGGGGACCAGCCTCCCCCGGCTCCTCCACCCCCGGCTCCTCCGTCCCCGACTCCTCCGTCCCCGACTCCTCCATCCCCCGCTCCTCCATCCCCGGCTCCTCCAGCCCCGACTCCTCCGTCCCCAGCCCCGGGCCGGTCCCTCCCGGTCGTGGGAAGGTCCCCCCGGGGCCAGGACTGGGAACCAGGGGTCGTTTGGGCTGCAAATCCGATGGCAGGTGAAGAAATAGGGGGCTGAGGGGTGAGCGTTGCCCCTGAGCTGCTTTGCAATGGGGCAAATTTCTGGCGGGGATGCAGGTTTGCTTTGCAGTGGGACTGATTTGCAATGGGGCAGGTTTGTGGCAGGGATGCAGGGCTGCTTTGCCATGGGGTTCGTTTGCAGCAGGGATGCAGGGCTGCTTTGCAGTGGGGCAGGTTTGGAGCAGGGATGCAGGGATGCTTTGCAGTGGGGCAGGTTTGCAGCAGGGATGCAGGGACGCTTTTCAGTGGGGCAGTTTTGGAGCAGGGATGCAGGGATGCTCTGCAGTGGGGCAGGTTTGGGGCAGGGATGCAGGGATGCTCTGCAGTGGGGCTGGTTTGGGCGGGCTGTTGGCCGCGCTGCTGCCGGTCCCCAGCGAGAGGCGCTGCCGCCCCAGGAAAACCGGGAGCGGCGGGGACCAGCCTCCCCCGGCTCCTCCACCCCCGGCTCCTCCGTCCCCGACTCCTCCGTCCCCGACTCCTCCATCCCCGGCTCCTCCATCCCCGGCTCCTCCAGCCCCGACTCCTCCGTCCCCAGCCCCGGGCCGGTCCCTCCCGGTCGTGGGAAGGTCCCCCCGGGGCCAGGACTGGGAACCAGGGGTCGTTTGGGCTGCAAATCCGATGGCAGGTGAAGAAATAGGGGGCTGAGGGGTAAGTGTTGTCCCTGGAATGATTTGTCCCCCTCTATTGTGTGGGCATGTGGTGGGGACCCCTTTGCACCCATGGGGGTGCTTCATCCAGAAGCACCAGAGAAGGTGCAGAGAAGGGTCCAGAGAAGGGTAATGGAGCTGGTGAGGGGTCTGGAGACCAAGGAGAAGGGTCTGGAGAACTTGTGAGGAGAGGCTGAGGGAGCTGGGGGGGTTCAGCCTGGAGAAAAGGAGGCTGAGGGGAGACCTTCTGGCTCTCTCCAACTCCCTGAAAGGAGGGTGTAGCCAGGGGGGGTCGGTCTCTTCTCTCAAGGAACAGGCGATGGGAGAAGAGGAAACGGCCTCAAGTTGCCCCAGGGGAGGTTTAGGGTGGAGATTAGGAAAAATTTTGACATGGGAAGGGTTATGAAGCCTTGGAATGGGCTGCCCAGGGCAGTGGTGGAGTCACCATCCCTGAAGGGATTTGAAAGCCGGGCAGATGGGGTCATGGTTTAGTGATGTGGTGGGTTTTTTGTTTTTTTTTTTTTTGTCAGAGTTAGGTTGATGGTTGGACTAGATGATCTTGAAGGTCCTTTCCAACCTGGATAACTCTATGATTCTATCCCCCGTCCGACGTGGTGCAGGGAGGGACCCCAGAGCCCGGGCGAGGGAGGTGACAGCAGTTTGGGGACACACCATGAATTACAGCTGCCTCCTGTCCCAGCCCTCCCCGCACACCGCCGTGCCGTCGCTGCTGCCTGGCTGCTTTTCAAGGACTCAAATGTTCCAACTGACTAAATCCGTTGGGATTTACACCCCAGGGTGCCCTCCCAGAGCCTGCAGCTCCCCCGGGTGAAGCCCAGTTTGTCCCCAGCGAGGACAGAGAGCTGGCCTCCCAGTGACAACTAAAATTGTCACTCTTAAATCCCTGCTGCAAAGGGGCAGGGGGCTGGTGCTCATCCGCCCCCCACCCTGCCAAACTTTCCTTCTGTGCCCACAAGGATTGAGTTGATTTTGGAGGGGCTTGTGGAGTTACTTTGGCCACCAGCCACTGTAGGGTGGCAGGAGCCCAAGGTGCCCACCTGGGTCCTGGCAGGGCACAAAACCACATCTTTGGGTAAAATCCAGCTGCAAAAAGCAAGAGTTCAGCATCCAGAACCCCCAGCAGCCCCTGGTGACAGCGTCCACCCCATGGCAGTGACCTGGTGGCACGGCCACAGGCTGGCAGCCCCGTTGGGGACGGGGCACGGTGTGGGTTTCGGGTGGCAGCGGGGCCAGCACCGGGCACAGACGGTGCCAGGGGTTATTTTGGGCTCCATGGGCAGGACACATTCTGTTCCCATGAGCTAAGGCAGTGAGTGGGGGGGGCTGGTCCCTTCCCTCCCACCCACCGCCCCACAAAACCCTCATCGGGGTCCCTGGGTGGCTCCAGGGCTGGAAAGGGACTGGGAGGGACTGGGAAGACTGGTGGGGCTCAGCTCCAGTAATGTCCATTTTGCAAAGCACTTTGGACTCCCATCAGCCTTAAAGAGCTCATTCAGAACACCCCATTATTATTATTATTATTATTATTATTATTATTATTTTCCCACTGCACTGCTGCATTTTAAACACCGCCACCACGTTATGTTTTTAAATGGAGGGCAATTCTGGTGCAAAAAAAAATTACATATGTTGGGATCCTAAATATCAGCTCGAGGTAGGGAGGTCATTAACACAGCTTCTGCCTGTGAGACCGGCAAAAAAAGCTGCTGATAAATTAAATATAGGCATCCAAATTGCAGGCCGTGGTTAAACACAGGGTGAAGAGTTTATTGGTTTATAATTGTGGCCACCTGAAGAAAGGAAGGGGGTTAAACTGGTACAAGGAGTTAAAGGAAGGAGACGGCGACGGCTCGTTTGATGCTGGAGCAGGAAAATGGGAGAAAAATAAAGCAAAGGGACTGGTGTCTCCTGGGTGTCCCCAGGGAGAAGCAGGGGAAGCTCTGGGTGCCTGCAGTAAATCGGTGCCTTTTAAATCCTTTGTGGATTTAAAATAAATCTGAGTGGGGGGGAATTTGGAGACCAACCCAGGACTTGGCTGCTAAGGCCGAAAATAAATAAAAAGGGATTAAAATTAACACTTTGAAGAGCCTTCTTGCTTCGTGGCTCCCCCAGCGATGCTCAGGGCAGCCCTGGCTCCAGGAACCAGCTCCATCCCTGGTCCTGGGGAGCCCCCCCTGGGTCCATGAGCACCCTCTTCTCCTTTAATATGAGGATAAAACACCCACAGATGCCTGGGGGGGCGTGGGGGGGTACTTAAATAGGACCTCAGGGAAGGAGAGAGACAGAGGAGCAGCAACGATGGGGTGGATGAGGGATGGGGTGGATGAGGGACACGGAGATGGTGTCCCACCCAGAGAGGGGTCACTCCCCGTCCTCCTGCAAACACAGCAGGGGACGAGGAGAGACAATAGAGAGAAACCCAAGAAGATATTGTCCCCTCCTGGCCACGGGGTGGGCAACAGAGCTCTCCTGGGGAGGAAAAACCTCAGTGCACTGGGGATGCTGGGCTGGGAGAGGGAGGTGCTGGGGCCCAGGATGCCACCAGCCACCCCAAAACCACCCTTATATTGACCTGTATATATATTTTTAATTTTTATATATATAAAATTAAGAAAATACATGCATATAAATATATTTAAGTGCTGGAGGAGGTGACCTGAGCTCACGCCCTCTTGCCCCCAAGCCAAACCCAGTTGGATTCAGTCTCATCCCAGTTATTTGATATCGCTGGGAAAAACAAGACGGGGTGGGGACGGGGAGCGGTGACCCCACAAGATGCTGGTGCTGATTTCTCCAGACACTCTGGGGTGAAACTGCGGCAGAAAAAAGGAGGGGAGAGGTTTCTAGTTTGGTTTTTTCTTTTTTTCATCTCAAAGGCTCAGCCCCTCCCCGAAACGGTGCCTTTCGTCGGAGGATTTCTTCCATTTGAACAAAATATTTGGGATGCCTCACAGAGAGCCAGAAGGCAGGTGAAAAAAAAATAAAATAAATAAAAATCCCTCCTTGGGACAGAATGTCCCCCTTGACCTGACCCTTTTTCTGATGATTATCTGATTTGCTGAGCTGTTTCGGTTCCCCAAGCGATGACATTTTCTCACTTCTTCTGAAAAACCAACACATAAATGCAGTTTTCCCCCTTCTTTTCAGCTGAACTGCTGGTGCCACCTCAGCAGGACCTCCAGCCACATCAGGTCCCCGACACCCCATGGCCAGACCCCCCTGAATATATGGTAGAAAAGCCACCAGCATTAAAAAAAATATATATCCCAAAGCACCCTCCCTAAAAAATAAGCTCGTTGTTGTTATACCCAGAATATTTGGGGAATAAACCCATAGATGCAGGGCAGGGAGCTGCCACCCCTGCTCCAGGGGTGCCCCCAAGCACCCCCAGGTCCCTGCAGGGTGTTGTCCCCTCTCTGACTGGTGACACTCTGGAAATACAATATTTGGGGAGTTGGGGGGGGCACTTGTCCCTTCTCTCTGCAGCCTGAAGGCACCATGAGTGGTTCAACCTCCTTGGCCAGGGCTGGAAAAAAACACTGGGAAATATTTGGAGGCTGTGACTCAGGGCAGGGACACGGCTCAGCCTGTCACCAGGGCCACCCGCACACCCCAGGGGGGATTCTCCGGTGTCTCGTAAGCATTAAGCTATCCCTCACCTGAGGTTTGTAGCTCTCCTCCATGAGACTTTTGCTGAACCCACAGGTTGGGGACATGGATGGGGACTCCAGCCCGACCAGCAAAGCCAGTAGAGACCTGCCCTCCTGCCTCAGTTTCCCCAGTGCCCTTGGGATTCTCCAAGAGCACTTTCCTCCACCCCACACCTGGTGCAAGTAGAGTCTCTGCCCCACAGCAAACCCTCACCGAGCCCCATCCAGCCTCCCTGCCCCACATCCCCACTCGGGTGGGAAAGGTCCTACCTGTCTGCAGGGGCTGGGGGGGTCGTGGTGACCCTGGAGCCAGGATCAGGCTCCTTGTGAATTTGGGGGCGCAGGGATGGACCTCGATCCGTGGGGGTGGAGAAGGGGGACAGGCAGGTCCCTCCTCAAGGCTCTTATCAGCAGCTGCCAGGGATTCCTGCCCGCACCCTGATTAATTCTGGCCTCCACATCAGCAGCCCCCAGTGTCCCTTCACCCCCCCACACCCCAGCTCCATCCCAGCAGCAGGACTGGAGCATCCCATGGGATACCAACAGTGGGATGAGTGTCACTCCCCCAAATTCTGGCTTTCCAGGAGGATGCCACCCCCAGAAGAGGTTGGCAAGGAGGGTGCATGGAGCCCAGCCCACCCCCTGGGGCAACTGGGGAGTCCACAAGTCCCCCATTTGCCCCCCCCTTGGGCAACCCAGGGCTGCTCCCAGTCACTCCCAGAGTAGTGGGACACCCCCACCCCATCCCACACCATGGAAGAGCAGCCCTTGGGGCTGAGGAAGGGGATGGGGCATCTCACCCCCTCTTGCTTGAACAGCGCTGCCCTGCAGAGGCATTTGGAAAAAGCAAAAAAAAAAAAAGAAAAAGAAAAAGAAAGAAAAATATAAAGAATAATTTTATTTTTTCAAACAAGATCTGTAGCAAAGTCACAGCAGCATTTCCATGCCCAGTCAGGAGTAAACACACCCCCCAAAAAATAAAAATAGAAATAACTTAACTGGAGCTACGGTTCAGCAGAGACAAACCAAGAGCAGCCCGTGATGCTGCTGGACCCCAACAGAGCTCCTGCAGAGCTGGGAGTGGGGTCTCTCCCAAACAGACACCCCCCTGGTGACCCGCACCGCTGGGAAGTGCTTGGGGACATCGGGGTGAAGCTTTGGCCACCCCAC